CAGCACGTGTTAGCACAACTCTGCTGTCTCACATCCCCCCCGATGCGCCCGGCCCCGGGGCGGGGGGATGCAGATGCCCCGCAGCTCTGGGGCAGGCGTGGAGCTCACGCCGCTCTCAGGAACCACCGTCAGAGTGGGATGGACATAAGTACTGCCTCCCCAGGCAGACACAAACAGCTACAGGAGCAAGGTGCCTTTGACAGGAGAAGGGTGCTGATCTGGGGGGAAAGGTCCCTTCCGCCTCCCAGGCTGTAGCTCACACAGCCACAGAGCTGTTCGCTCGTAAGCGGAGTTGAAGACAGCCTGAAACCCCAAGGAGTCATTCAAGTGACAAATCCTGCTCATTGACAAACAGGACTGAGCTCATGCATCTTGTTTCTGACCTATGAGTCTCCCAGAGCGCTCTCCTTGCCTGACGCATACCCTGCCCGGGAGCAGGGCAGCTAGCCCCACAGTCCCAGGACGGTAGCTCCCACGGTCTGAGGACACAGGCTGGTGTGTGTGCACATCTCGTTTAAAGGAAAAGGGACACTTGGTTTCCCCCCACTCACAGGAAGAAGGGGATATCCCTCCCCGCCAAAGGCAACCTGGGGACAAGGCAGCCTGGGCAGCAGAGTCCATGGCACCCTCTGGTACTCACCGCCGAAGCCGACAGCCATGAAGCGTGCTGCAGGAGACAGGCTGAGCGATGTGGCGAAGTACGGCAAGGAGATCTTCTCAACTACCTGCGCTCCAGCAAGAGAAACACACCAACACCTCAGAAATGAGCAGGCAGGAGACCAGGGCTGCTGCAGTGACAGTCGTTAGGAGGGTAAAGGGCTCCTCTCAAAGGGGAGGCTGACAGATGCACAGCGCCTCTCAGAGCTCGGAAACCTGCCAAAGGCATCGACTTTCCAGAGGAGACTCGACTCAACGATTTAGTGCTCCTGAAAGCAAACGCCTTCCCCTCCCGTCGGATCGAAAGGCAGCGGGGCAGCAGCAGGGACTGGCAGCCTGCCCGGACACAGCCCAAGGCAGGGGCAGGGCCCTGCCATTCACCGGTTACCTGGGCCAGACTCGGAGTTTCTGAGATGAAAAGCTGTTGCCCTGAGTAGCTACTTGCCTGAGCCCACCCCAGACCCTCAGACTCGGCTTTATGCGCAGGGCAGCACTGCCTCCCCCCACTGCACCTCATTTTACGTGGCCACGGCCCCACAGCGGCAGAGGAGCCCCTGAGCCACCCTGGCAGGGCACAAGTACCTGTTTCTTGCGCAGGCTGTAAAACAAGGCTTCCTTCTGCATCCCAAAGCCGACGTAGACCAGGGTACCGGGTTCCCAAGGGCAGAACGCGGCCAGGCTGGGCGGGAGGCTGCCGAGACCCTGGTGAGGGAAACCAAGGGGAACAAAATTGAGGCTAGCTTCTCCAGCCCGACCCAACACAGTGGGGGACAAAAGGAAGGCACGGAGGGACACCAGCCCTTGGGGAAATTAGTATAATGGAGGCAGTTTCCTCCCTTTTGCATTGCCATCTGCATTTGCTGTGCTCATGGCAAAGCAAGGAGCAGCCACACACTGCCATGGAAACATGAGGCAAATTGTTTACTATCATAGGAGCAAGACACATGAGGGTCCAACAGGCTGAATTTTCACCGAGGCATTATTGCTACTTGGGCTTGAAGGTGGGACTGAGTTACGGATCGGTTTAACACAAGAAAATCAGGCCCAGAAGATAGATCTTTAGTAGTGGATGCAAAATCAATCCTTCCCCTGTTCACTGTGGGGAGGGGATAGGGAGGGATATCCCCTTCTTCCTGGTCACTGTGGGGAGACCTGTAGCGAGTTTCCTTCACGGAGAGGAAATCCATCGTTTTGGAAACAAACAGAAGAAACGTTCACAGAACCCAACCGCTGTATGGGCTTGGACGGTGCTTGGCCCCAAGGGTGGCAGGCTGAGGCACCACCGCTTGCCCCCCCGAAAAGACCCAGCTCCCTTCTGCATGCCAACGTCGTGTACCGGGGACCATCTCCCTGAGACAGACCCTCCTCCCCTTTCTAGCAAGTGTCCTGCTGCCCAAATCTCACACCTGGGTTGGAGCCAAAGGGTTCTGCAAAGCATCTCAGACACACAGGGCTAGAGTACTTGGCTCTGTGAACCCGTCACTGGGCTCTGGCTCTGAATATTCATGGGGAGTGTCAAAGTTAGCAGCATCCTCATAATTAGGTCTCTCTTCTGCGCACTGTGCTCACTGCTGCCTGTGCTGTTTTGCGTAGCACAGGGGTGTCAGCTCTTTGCCGACACAGTTTTTGACTCCTCACGCTTACAAAGGCCGTGCTTCCCAGCGGTTAGGCACTGCTACAATGCCCACTGCCTTTCGACACGCAAGAAGGAGCATTAACAAGATACTCTACGAGCAGCAGAACTAACGATGACAACACACTCTCTCTCTTTGGCCCTGTCCCGCTCAGAGCCTTGGGGCATCCCTCCTCCAGCTCGGCTGGTGCTGAAACCCATGCCACGAGCAGGCAGGGGCTGGCAGGTGCCACACTCACCTCGGGGCCGGCAGGAGCCGGGAAGCTGAGCCAGTCGAGGAGCTCGCACTTATCCTTCAGCCAGTCGGAGGCCCAGACGCTGACCCGCCGGTCCGAGCTGGTGGCCAGCCAGAGCTCGCCTCCTTCCACCCCGAAGTCACGGTACTACAGAAGATAAACGCAACGCTGTGACTCTGGCAGTACAGAAGCTTTAGAGAAAGCTGCCACTAGAGCTAGCACGGGGCAGGAGCTCGTGGGAACACAGGCCTTATGCCGTAGGGGATCAACGCCAGGATTAACGTCCATTTAGGCAGCGCTTAAAGTCACTTATCACAACAAAATAGGACAAGGAAGCCGTGGTACTGGAACCAGCGGCACGCTTCAGGCTGAAAGCCCTGGCAGAAGAGGCTGCTGGAGGAGGGGTGAGCGCCCGGCCTGAATGACACAGATCTCTTCCCCGCGACGCCCTCTGGATCTGCACATCTCCTAGGGGAGTGCTTGCAGATACCGTGTGTCCCCTAACAATGTCCTTCACCTAAAACTGAGGAGGATCTCCTAAGTCTAGAATTACCAGGGAACACAGCCTTGCAGCATGGATGATTTTAAAGCCTGAGAACTTAGGCAAAATTATTCTAATTTCCGCTATGCAAAGGAAAAAGACTTTCGATGAAGAGATGGACAATGGAAATGCTCAAAACATCACACTGCTGCACGGCCTCGCTCCACAGAGGAACCATACACAGGAAGCCAGGCTGCCAAGGAGCGAAGCGGGGAAAGCACGCCGAGCCTTTTCGCAGGGGCACAGGGGTTGAAAGATCACAGCCTGGGCTGCTCTCAAGGGGTGCTGCTCTCTGAGAGCCTGCGGTGTGGGCACGCATCGTATCTGCGTGCAGTGTGTCTCCAACAGCCACCAAACGTCCCCTCACCCGCAGGCACAGCCTCGCTCAGGGTTGCACCTGCAACGCCTGCGGCTTTACCCCACCAAAGACAGCCCTAGAAAAACTGAACAGGAGTTACTGGAGGGGATGGGACCCTGAAGAGGAAAGGTGAGGGACAATGAAGTAAACTCGCTGATCGGCCTGGCCATGCTGCTGCAGCTTCCCACAGCTGTGCAGTGACACATGGGGAGCTCCCTCCCGCACAGCACTGGGGCAGAGGGTGAGGTCTCACCTGCTTCCTGGTGCACTGGAGAACAGTGATGGGGGAGCCTTTGTGGTCAGCGAGAACACGGATAGTCATTCCAGTGCGAGGGCTGCTGACAGCCACGAGCCCGTCCTTGCCCCCTGATAAGATCATTTCTCCTGTGGGCAGAGGAGAGAAAAGAATGGGACACTTTTTGTAGAAGAAAAAGCCTATAGGAGAAAGGTCCAAGATCATGGGATACCAGTGTCCCAAAACACCATGAAAGGCTGGGAACATCTGAGTTAAGGGCTGGGTAAGATGAGATGTCTCAGAGACCCCCACTAAAACACCACACTGAAGAAGAGCCACTGCAGATTGTAAGCAGGACACAAAGGAATGCTTCTTGTACCCAAACCCCTTTGCTATACCATTGCCAATATACCTCCCGTGTCCCATTTACCACATGCTCAGCTGGCAGAGCTACCAGAGCTCATGGATACAAGTTCTCTGGCTCTCCCTGGCCCCAGGTTTTTGGGCAGGTTGTCAGTACGCAGAGCGGCTGGAGCTCAGGGTAACGCAGGCACAACCAAGCCATGATCCCCAAGGCAACATCTCCCCACTGTTACAACAGGCAGCCTCACCATCTGTGGAGTAGGCAATTGCTGTCAGTGCAACGGTATGGGGGTGCATTTTCAGCTCCATCTCTGTCCTGGAAATGCTGAATACGCGGATGGTGCCATCGCTGTACCCTGCCACTACATGCTGGCTCTCAGCTCCCCACGCAACGATGGGACGAGGCTTCCAGGCCAGGCACTGGCAGCTCTGTAAAGGAACCAGGACAGAGACCCAATGACACAGTGAAGAGAGCAGGACTATGCAATCAACTGCACTAAAAGCTCCACCTGCAAGTATTTCTCCAGCTTTAGTCGGCTCCACGAGGACACAGCAATCCTTGCAATCCCAAGCAGTGGACTGTGCCCTCTACGAAGAGGAAGAGATTGACGTACCACAAACAATTACCTGGTTGAGCACCTGGAACTGTACCACCAGCTCCATGCTGCCCAGAGACCAAATCCTCACGCTGCCATCTTCCCCGCACGTTACGCAGTGAGTCTCATCAGGACTGAAGCACACTTCGGTCACCTGCAGCGAGAATGGAGATGGGGAACAGGGGCCCTACAAATGTTGCAGCCTAGAGGACATCAGCTCCTCTGCCCTCTCATCCCCCAGGACCCCTTTCATGGGAGACACCAGACAAGAAGCCCCAGACATAAAGGAAGGTGGCGTGCTTTGGTTTTGTCCTTCAATCTTGGGCTGACAACTAGGCTTGTAAAGGAAACCAGTAAACCTAACCCCAAAGCTAGGACCAGACACTTCGCAACGTAGGTGTAAGTAATACCTTCTCTTCTACCATCTGAAATCTTCTTTCTGTAGCATAAAGATACCCCAAAGCAACAGCAAAATTCAAAACAGTCATTCTTCACCTGGGTGGTTTTTTTTTTTTTGCGTTTTAGGCAAAGCAAATGTTATCCAATATGGATATCCAGCTAGCAAACAGAAGGCAGGCAGAAGTCACAGCACTCAGGAATGAAGCCTTCGTGATTGCAAACTGCATTCTTCCGCTCCAGCAGAAAGGCCCACAGCTGCTCCCAGGCTGAGGCTGTTAAACACCTAAGGCTAGAGCGGATGAGCTCAGACTTCTTGATGTTGGACTCCTCAGCGTGCACATTTCTCTCTAGACTCCTCCGTGTTGTCCCGTCAGCACTAGTGAGCCCTGCAGCTCCCTGACCTCTCCCATGGCCAGACCAGGGAATGCTTCTGCAGCCCGCACACGCTTCCCGGGGCATGGACAGCACACACAACACTTGCTGCTCTGCGGGACAAACCACCCCAGACTAGCCCCTCTAACCTTGTTCTTGTGGCCACTGATTAGTCGGATGCTTGTGCTCTCTGTCCAGTTGATGTACCACAGGGTTCCTGCTGTGGTGCCCACAATTCCCATTTCTAGAGAGTCGTCAAAGGCCGCACTGACTATCGTCCCGTCAAGGGTGATCTCATGTTCTAGCAGGACCGAGCTAGACCTGGAAGAAAGGAGGATGCGAGAAGGACTGGCTCAACTATTGGAACAGCCACTCTGCCTCCTTTAAATGCAATTTTCTAGTGAGCCCAGTCACATGTTCGCAGCTAAACGGTTCAATGAGGAGATCCTGTACATTGAACAGTGACTACCGTTGTATTTGCACTGCAACCATCTTTTATATGAAAGAAAGAAAATAGGGGATGCAACAGTGTGAGAGAAGAAACAAAGGCAATGTATTTTCACTAGTTCTCTTAAAGGAGTTCCTACAAATCACCAACACAAACTTCAGGCATGATAAACTCCACCCATTTCCAGTATTAAGAGGGTTCAGCTACCTGTGGTAAAAATTCAGTATAAAGATCCAGACAGAAAAAATCATCAGTCATGGGATAGAGAGGAAAAGCTAAGGATGAAGAGCAACAGGAGCAGCGTGGTTGCAGGCAGAGCCGATGTCTGTCCGTGAAAAGCCACCTCTCGGACAGGTCCTGGGAGCTGCCAGATGAGGGGAAGAGCATCTCAAGAGCACGGCGAGACGGGCGCGAGCACCGCAGGGATGCTGGGGCCACGACCTCCTACCTGGCATCGGGACCTTTCAGCCTCAGCTCCTGCACGGCAGCCACTGCCCACAGGCGGATACGTTTCGTGTTGCTGCCACTGACCAGCCTGTTGCGCCGACACACCAGCACACCTGAGGTCACAGAGGAACGAAGGGCACCAGTGAATATCCACCGCTCTCGGCCATCACCCAAGGTGTGCTCCTGACAGCCAGGCCACTGATTCATTCGGGCAGGGCAGGGGGGGTCTCCTACCACCCAATACCCAGCGTTTTTACAGGCTAGAGGTGAGCCCCTCAGGAAACCCAGGGCCCCGAGGAAGCCCAGGTCACAGATCCATTGCCACCCCATGCATCTTGCATCCGACACAGCAAACTGGTTTACCGAGCACAGCTGAAATCTGAGGTCTGCAAGCTTATTGCTGTTCTTTCCTAACGAGTTCCCTGTTATAGCCCTAACAGACGCCCGGGGCATCTGCACCCACCGATCTCGCCCTCGTCAGCGTCCCACGTCATGAAGCAGCAATTAGTCTCAGTGTCCCACACGCAGATCTGGCCTGAGTTGGTCCCACTATAAAGAAGAGTGTCAGCACCGTAACAGAGAGAGGTCAGCTCCACCGGCCCTAACACGTCTGGGGCAGGGGCCCGATGAACCTGCCGGAGCACATAAAACAGAAACGTCAAAGAGAATATGGTGCTTACCTACATCAGGGAAAAAAAACCTCTCCTCCTACCCTCAATTCATGCAGTTAATGCCTCAAATACAACTGAAAGCCACTCACGGCCAGCCAACATCATCTCACTAAGAGAAATCATCAGACCTGTGGGGGCAGAGCCTTCATCACACTCACCAGGGGCTTGGAAAAGAAGTCAGAGATGCTGAACAGAAATTTTAAGAGAAGGTAAAACTGAGGTTTACCTTGAGGTTGACATCAGCTTCCTGCTGCTCCAACAGCCAAAACATCATGGCTCCCTTCCCCACGCAGGCCAGTTCTCTGTGAGAAAGAGGACTAAAAGCCACGTCATGGACTGGCTCCGAGATACAGGTTGACGACATGAGTTCGTAAGTGTAGGTATTCCACAGAGCAATGGTTTGATCACTGTAGTCCCCTAGGTAGAACATGAAAGACAGTAGAAGGAAAGTCTGCAACCTCAGTGTTTCTTCAGGGTGCTCACAAGCATACACACTGCACACACGCAACAACTGTGTCACTCCCTTGTCCAGTTGTTCGGAGACAACTGCTGCGAACACCGTCCCAGGCACAGACACGGCTCCTTGCGTGCTCAGCAAAAGCTGCACAACATGATGGGTCCTCATTCGAGTTGAGTACAGATGTAACTGGCCCAACACTTCATGCTGAAGGTTGTAGCAAATCTGGCCCTGCAGTGGGGTCTGCCACCAGCATTTGAACCGGCCGATGGCTGGCGTGGTAGGGATTTCAGCAGGCAGAGCAGGTATTCTGCTGTTTCTACATCCTTAGGAGCTACTGCATACCTCAACATACGCCCCACACAAGCCCTCCAGTGATACTGTGCCGCCAGGGCTAACAACACTCTTGAAATAAGAAAGGGATGTCACCATTGCTGACGTCAAAGCTGAGATGGGAGCTGATCTTAATGGAAACCACCGTATCTGGGTGGCAGCAGATGGCAAAAACCCCCAGCTCCCAGACAGTTCTGGAGGACAGTGCTCTCCTGCTGCTTTTCCCAGGCTCCATAATCTCAGTGGAGACTTCCAGCTTTTCTCTTCTCTGCAGCCCTGACTGGAGCTGGAGGAGGGGGGCTCCTCTCCCATGCTGCTCCATGGAGTGCACAAAGCTCTCCTCCTCTCCAGCAAAGCTTGTTTTATTTCCAAGGGCAGACTCAGCAGCCCAGAGGGAGTGTATTGCCTGCTCCACAGGTCCTCTCTCATGCAAAACAAGAACTTACTAATTGCATATTTGTCCTTTAAATGTCCCCTGCCTAAACAAAACAGACAGCTTGAGCATCCATCTTGTGCTGGCATCACTGCCTGGCAGGAGGCTCACAGTTTGAAGCCTGGCTACTTCTACGCAATTCCACCTAAGCAGCAATAAGAAGTCCAGAAGAACGCTTTTCCCTTTGGACACTATATATAGTAACCGCAAACTATTTACACGGGCTTAACAAGCACTAGCAAGCCAGGAGAAGAAAGCTGTAACTTCAAGAAAAATGAGCTAGCTGGGGCAATGAGAAAGAACTGAAGGGGAGCTGGGGGGAGCCCAGCGTTCATGCCTGTGGTTGAGATGCACAGGGCACGTGCCTCCCCTCGAAACACTGCCAACAGCGCCCTGGAAGTTCGCTCAGCTGCAAAGAGTACCCCTGCAGGCGGTCACTCCCAGGAGGACCCGAGATCACTTGCAGTTTTACATGCTGCATTATCCATTGTCCCGAGGCTACCAAGCAACAGCCTCATACCCACGAGGCTGGTACACATCTCACAGGTATTGCACATCTTCCTCCCCTGAGCTGTCTACTCTAGGGTGTATTCCTGCACCCACACCTGGTGTTACAGGTGTACTCACCTAGGGTGACAAGGAATCTATCATCCTGAGAGAACGCCATGGCTTGTACTTGGGTCTCGTGATGGAAAAGACTTGCTGTGCAAACCCCATCCTGGACATTCCAGATGCAGATCTGACAATGGGAGTCTCCATTCCTCTTTCCCGAGGCAGAGGCAAGAACCTAACAGAACAATATGTTGTCACTGAAACCTTGGTAAATAATTAGAGAACACTTTGTTAGTTAGCTAGTCTTAACAACTGTTAGTCTCAAATTTAAGTGATGTGATTGGCAAATGAAAAATTCTGCGAGAACAACCATCAGCTGACGGCAAGAGGGAACGGTAGCATCACCCAGGGGAAGGGAGCAGCCTTTAGTGTCACACTGAGCCAGCACAATGGATAGCTAGGCTCCAAAACCATTTATTTTATTTTCATAACCCCAGGTCTCCATGCAGCAGGCAGAAGAAGGAACGGATAAATGGGATTTTAGTCTGTGACTTTCCTTTAGCCCAAAGCGACACAGACAAAACCCTGTCCGGGGCAGCAGAAGCCTCTCCTACCTGGGCATCATGGCTGACGGCGAGTGTAGAGATCTCCTCTGCATGGCCAAGCCAGTGATTCTGTGATCCCGAGTGCAGATCTTCAACCACGATGACGCAGCCACAGGTGTAGGCGAAGAAGCCTAGCAGAGGAGGAGGAGATGGGATGTTTTCATGTAAAGGCTTCACATACAGCACCCACTACAACCTACATCACAATTCAGGAAAATTCTTTTTTTCAGTAATACGTAAAAGCTGAGTCTTCTACACAGCCTGTCAGCATCCTTCCCATCAGGTTGAGAGTGGAGTAAAATCTCAATTCCCCTAACGTGAGCAAAGCAAAGCTGTTGGGCATCACTCCATCCTGGAGAAAGGAGGTGAGATGGCCTTTGTGAGAGTCTTCCCTTCTGCTCTATTCACTCAACACTGAAGCCTGAGTCTGTCCGTATCAACTAACATTTGCCAATAGCAAAGAAGGGTTACTGGATTTTACCAATGCAAAGAACCCCCGTGTTAAAGCAAAGATCCCAACCCAACAGCTAGAAGATTATAACTTGGCTCAGTACACACACCTCCCGCCCCTCCAGAGCCTTCCCGGTGTACCTGTGTCCGGGTTCCACACCATATTCCCTCTGCCGTTCCCGTTGTAGCCGATCACAGCTTTCAGCTTCAAGACCTCACTGCCAGCTGGAGGAGATAAGAAACTCTACAAGAAAAATAGACACCGGTTTAAAATAAGCTCTAGAAGGATGGCCCGGTCAGGTACATTCAACACCCACGTAAGAAGTGTGCGTGCAAGCACACACACATCCTCACACACACAACTCGCAAATTTATGCCAATATACTTCCACAATTCAAGTTCAACACATCAACAGATGAATACCAAAGTGCACACTTATACATACAAAAGAGAAACTGCACCAGCAGAACCAGGCACAGATGCTTTCAGATGGGGCACAAAACAGGCTGGCAGCAACTGCCCAGCCGATGAGCAGCTGCTAATCCTGAAAAATTGCTGACTCAGGGATGTGGATGTTTCAACAGGAAGACAGTGGGGGAAAAAATGCTACCAGGTGGAGGGACAGAGGAGAGAATTGAGGGTGCAAGCTGAAGGTAGCTTTGCCCGCAGCACTGTGAACAACAGAGCTTAGGAAAAGGTTGAGTTAAGTTTCTGTTTTATTACTGCTCTGTTTGTTAACAGAGCGAGAGCTGTGCCTTGACTATCTTCACTACGCTCAATGGATTGCCTTCCCCAGCCTGCTCTGCCAACGCATCTGCTCACAAATATGGGTGCATGATGAATCACTCCATTGCTCTCTCGTCTTTCACTTTCAATAGCATATGCCACTTCCATTTCTTTTGAATAAAAATGTATGCAGATTTGCTGAACAGAAAAAGAGTTGATCACAACTCACTTTTTATTAGTCTGGAAAGAGCTGCACGTAGAGGAGAAAGGGGAACTAATGTTAGGAGTTTCTAACTGAACATCAGGCCCAGGGGTATATTTCACAAATTGCTTTCAAACAGAGAACAAAATGGAAACAATTTGGAAAATCCACCTACCCCAGCCCCAAAATGGCTGTTTGCCACCTGCCCAGGGAACCAGCCCTGGCACAACTCTCACCTGGGGAAGCACCGATGCCTTAAAACGAGGAGTGAAATGCCGGTAGGAGTCTGGGCGGACGGAGCACTGGGACTTGGGACTTTTGGTCTGCTTTCTGGGCTCTGCCACACAAAGAAGAAAACAGTACCTATAGGATGCTGCTCCTGGGAACGGTTCGGGAGCAGCAGCTAGGCTGTGGCTTGCTGTCCGTTCAGATGCTGTGTATGTGCGTGCATACAC